ATCATGTACAGGTACAAATTCTCTATGAGGAAGGTGATCATCATGTATACCCAAAATGTACCAATAAACTTAATGAAAAAAGATTAATGAAGAACTGAAATAGTTTGAAAATTTAACTTTCATCATAGACCAGCCCCTGAGATTTAAAACAGATATTCTTTTATTTAGATTTCTAACAGAAAGTGTTTTGCATGTATGCTGACTTTTAAAGAAGTCTATACTTAGGCAAATTTTGTTCTTGGAAAATTCAGAAACCCAGAGGCATGAGGTTCCACCTTGCTACATCACAAGGCTTCCAACCTGCTACATCATGATGAATGTTCACCATTAACCGCGAAATGAATCTAATTTTCCTTTTACACTCACTGGTACACTGAAGATATAATGCAGCATTTCCCACACTCTCTGGAACTGCATGTGAGTCATGTTTTAGAGTAGCAGATGTGTGACATCCCATGAAAAAGTTGTAAAACCGTTACAGGAAAATCACATCTGTCAGTCCCTACTATCATTTTAACTCTGGTTCCATGGTCTGCTTCTTTTTCTATGCCAGAGGAGTCAGCCTGGCATAAAAGCTGTCCCAGGAAATTGTGTCTCCTGGACTAGCTAGTTAAGCAAATTGTGTAACTGCCATTAAAACTGAAATGTACCCAACAGACATAATTTCACAAAAGAGGAGAGAAAACCACATTTGTAGAAAAGTCACAGCTGTTCAGCTCTACATTTTGCACTTTTTTTTTTGCATTAGAAAATGTTTCCTTTCCTTATGAATAGTGACAGTTACATTGCTAGTTAGCAGCTTTAAGGCTTCTTAATACAGTGCTGAGTGCTGCACTAGCATGGATTCCATGTCTGTTGGGAAAAATGGGGCTAAATTCTTTCTGCTGCTACATGGAGGAAAAGCTTGGTTTACCTGCCCTGACTGGAGATGAAATAAGAAAAGATGCTGAGGAGGGCTCACTGGCCCCTGAAACACAGAGCTGTGTGGCTGCATCTGTTCCTCCAAACCAGGGACATGGGCCCGCACATGCTAAGGTCCACCCGAAAGGACTTCTGTTCTTTCAGGTCTTATTTCCAGCGGCCATGGTGCCCCGGACCACTCTGAAGTCATGGGCATGTGAATACCGTGGCCCGTATTGCTTGGGCCTGAGCTCATGTCCCTGGGCTGCCGGACACCTGTGTGAAGGGCAGGGGATGTTCTTGAGGGAGTCCTCGCTCTTCCCAAGCAGGGGGTCTCACAGCCTTTTTGGCCCATCCGGGATTACACACGCTAGCTAAATTGATGGGAGGCATTTTGAGTGAGAGTTTGGAGTCTGGGCTCAGCTGCCAAATGACCTACATCCAAATTGCAGCCCTCAGTCCCAAGAATGCATGAGAGTGGGTGTGTTCCTCCACTTCAGTAGCCAGAGTTTGTTCATCTGGAAACTTAAGACAACTTACTTCAGTATCACCATGGAGAGGGCTATAGATGTGGCCAAGACTGCTGAGCGCTCAGCCCGGGGCACAGCACACTCTGAGACTGAAATACTAAGCATTTTGGTGGCATCATGATGAGGTTTTCTTTGTTTTTTCCGGTGCTTAAATATACTCCAGTTATAATCCTAAAAGTGAACATGAACACGGTGGCCCATACTGCTCGGGCCAGAGCAGTGAGTGCAGCAGAGAGAAGTAAGGCATAGAAGGGTAAGGTCAGTTATAGTGGTCAAACCTGGCCTGTCCAGACCCTAGGATTTCTGCTACTGATCTGAGACCTCCTCTCCGGCTGTGTGTGGCAGACAGGAGAATGTGTGCTTGTGTCGCTGTGCCAGACGCACAGCACTGACTTCCATGGGGCCAGCTGGGCTGGTGACCGAGCCTGGGTGTGGTTCTGGTGCCCAGTTCTTGGTCGGTTTGAAGAGGGGCTGTCAGCCAGCCCAGGTGGACACCCAGTGTCCGTGCACACAGGCTTCCCTGGCCACTGGTAGGGCAGGAGGAGTACTCCTCACACCTCCTAACCAGCCCCCCATTGTGTTGATGGGTGTGTAATTAGGCACAAAAAAGGCCAGCTCCACAGAGAATTCACTGCCAATAATAGCAGTGAATCCAAGATTTTCATGATCAGAGATCAGTAAGTATAACTACTACCTCATTAAATTAACTAAATATCAATATTAGAAATAAAATGTATGATTCTACAAGATACTGACATTAATGCTATTGCCACAATTATGAACAATGCAGGCAGTTTCTATTTTATAATTTTGGTAACTACACTGGAAAAGACAGAAACTAGAAATCTATTATTTTTCTCTATAAAATTTTTTTCCAACTGAAACACCCTAGGGATTGAAAGTAATGACTAACCATTATGTTTTTATATAGAGTCACATAAATTCCATAAACAGGGACTACTATTCATAACAAATATATGTAAGAAATAAGAGCAGAGTAGAAGTGAGAGATATAATTCAAAAGAACCATGTAGATGTGTAATTAAAATACTTGACAAACTGTCCTTTTGCAATGGAAGATGTTCCTCATTTCAATTAATGCATGCCTCCTTATACAGAATAAATTGAAGTGGTTTAATTATGCTGGTGAATTTTTCCTAAAGGATGTTTTTGAGAATACTGGGGGCTAATGTTCAACTTAACCTTATCTTTAAGGTTGAATTATCTGCTTATTCGTAACTCAGTTTTCAGCTTGGCCCGACGTGCCGTCACACCTTGTGACTGGTATCAGCAAGCTGTCTGGGCTCCTGGAATGTGGTAAAACCCATGGCAAATAATGGACCTGATGCCACCAGAAGGAATTAAGTTACTCTGACACCCTGTGACCTGTATGTATGACCTCACAGTAACTTATTGTGACTGTGATAATGAATCACTTATACAATTACGAGACATGTCAGTCTGTTCTAATTACACATCATGACTGAACTTTGAACAACTTTCCGCTGATGGCTGTAATACGTGGACAACGAAGTTGAGAAATGTAGAAAGATGTACATAATTTAAACAAAAACAAATTAAAAGACAACTATTCAAATTCTAATGATAACAAGAACAGTTTTTCTAAGGCTATAGCCAATGCTCACTATGATAATTAACTATCGGGTGTACCAGTGACAGGTCTTTCTTGATGAATGTATACCTCCAAGATCAAGAAGGTAGGAAGCATGAGTTTCTCACTTCTCTGAGAGGTGACAGGGGCAGACTGAGTAAAGTACCGTTTGCTCATCGGAAGCGAGCTTGCCAGGAATTAAAGACATGGAGGAACAACCTGAAGAATTACAATACAGCAGGGATCAGCAAACTATGATTTTCAGACAAAATGTGGCCAGCTGGCTGTTTTGCAAGTTTAACTTGATCATAGCCTCGTCGGTTCAGGTAAATATTCTCTGCTTGTTTTCAAACTACAAAGGCAGAGCTGAGTTGTTGTGACAGAGGTCTCCTGCTCCCCTCAGTATTTCCTATCTGGATCGTTATGGGGTTTGCCAATACTTGGACTAAGGAAAGGATTTCTTTTATCCAATAATACCACAGGGAAATACAGTAAGGAGAGAGCAGATGTATCACACTTCAGTTCTCTTTCCATATCTGGAACCACCTTGGGTTTCAGACGTAACAGGCTTGCGCACAGAGCATGCTAAGCCAGTGAATTAAGCTAAGCTATTTATTACACTCAGTGTTAAATTTATCCAGGAACAGTAGCTGTACTGCTATTGATATTATTAAAATAACTGAGTATTTTAATTGATGAGCAATTGAGTGGGACTCAGAGGTCTTATATCTATTTACAAATGATTCTCATCCCTTTCCGCAATTACAGATACCTCCACTGTACTTACCTTCCTTTCCCTATCTACTGTCTTCCTGACACTGGACGTTAGATACTACGTTAGGAGATGACCCCTGGCCACCGCGCTGACTGCGCCTGGGCTGAGTCTGGAAAGGATGCCCGCGCCGACAGAATGGGGCTTCCCCAGGCAAAATGGCGGTGAAAGCACTTGAGGCCAGCGCTCAGGTGGGGGAGGCTGGAGGGCAAGGAGGAGCACGTGCCTTTCTTATCTGCACATTTCCAGCCCTGAGCAGGGTTTGACACCTAGCAAAGCTGTTTGAATATCCTTAGCAAAAAAAGCCATTATCTATGACCAGCTAGTTTCAGTTTATTGTTATGCAGACTATGGTTAGAAAAACAAAGTTACATTTTGATAAATAATGTGAAAGTCTCGTGTGTTTCAACCTCTGCATTGCTTGGGCATATATTTCCGATAAGGAATATGTGGGCTTTGTTCTTAATAATGTTAGGAACATAATACAATAGATAAGAATAATATTTTCCTGTATCTGAAGAGTGGGTTCTGTAAGAATAATTGATATATTTAACTTGTAAACTTATGACTATCGTTTTATCTTCCTAAGACAAAACATGTGTACATAACTGAATCTCTAATAGGTTCTTTACTTTGGATAAAAAGACACTTAGATGGGAATAGCTCACAGCATAAGATACATTAATGCAACACAAGCTCTTATAGGTAACATAAAATCCAATCTATGGAAAGAATGCTGTTGATGTAAAATTGAGTCCTAAAAAAAGAAAAATATATAAATTTTATTTTATCATTCAACTACAAAGTATGGCTCACTCATTTAATTGGTTTTGAAATCCAGTTTAATACAGAATCTCTTCTGCACAACCAGTCAGCTCCTAGCATTTTGATTGCAAAATGGAAGGCATTCACTTCAATATCTTTAATTATCATTCATTTGGAGGACAGTGTGAAACACACTTTTCCAATTGGTGTTTTAGAACCATGAGTCAAAGGAAAGGAATGACAAATTAGCCAGCTAGAAAGGCAAGTATCAGCTAACGAGTGCTGCTGGAGCCTTTGTGGATACTTCAGAATAAGATGAAAGAGGAAAAGGGGCTGTCAGCCACACATGCTCCATAAATGAAATACTAACACAGCTTCACGACATATTAACAACAAGTTAATATCACACTTAGAGACTTACTCAACATAATAAGTGCCATATATGGGATCATCGATTTTTTCCCAGCCATATGGAAGCTCTGAAAAATAAAAAGTTATTTCTTTCAGTAAGTAAAGAACAGATATCACAATTTTCTAATAAAAAGTAATAGAATTTAATTATTCATGGGTTACAGAAATGGTCTATCAAAGCAGAATAAAGCATTCAGAGTTAGCACCAAATTTCAGACCCATATTGTGGGAACCATAAGAAGCAATGATTGAAAATTGGCAGTTAAAACACAGAGCTCTCTTTTCTGCAGACACACTGCTGGGTCTAGCTGTTTTGTCCATGCCAAGCAGTGGGATGGCACAAATCATGTCCTTACCATTGGGTGCAATAAGAAGGCAAATAGAGTTCCTGAAAGTGCATACAACTCTCTTATTTATTCGTGTTGTTAAAGGAGCATTTCGGGATAAAGATCATATTTTCAAAACACATTTCTGAGGACAGCAAATTGTTTCTGATGACTGAAACAAAGGGATTATAAAATCTCAATTGACACCCTGCTATTTGAGAGCTTTCGCTTGCTGTTCACGCCACAAGGGTCAGAACTTGAATGCTGGCAGTATGTTCTCTGGGCATAGTTTAAAAATAAAGTCTAAAATTCTACACATCACTTGACAACATACCTCATGTTTCCTGTGCTCCATTGTTAATTTTAATATACATGCACATTGAAAATATCAACAGTGCTATAAACGCTATGACAGCCTAAGCCAGGGCTTTTGAAAGCCAAGATTTTCTTCATAATATTGTTCTCTACATTAACTCAGCCTCCAAAATTAACCTAGGTAACTATAGAGAATATAATATTTTTCTTGATAGAGAATTTCACATGTATAATTTGAAAATTAAGATAGACTGACATGCTTAAATAGTATATTTAAGTGCAATTTAAAAGTTTTATTGTTACAGTATCAGTACATGCCACAATACAGAAAGTACAGTAACGGGAAATTAGAATTACCTACAAGCCTGTCCACCCTGAGATAACCACTATTCACATTTTGGTGAATATCTTTCCTATAAATTTCTATGTCTACACACATAATTTTCAAAGAAATTATATAACATGGTTCACATTATGTTTATAGCCTGATATCCTAATTGACAAATTACCAGAGACATCATTCAGTGTGAATGAAAATTACTGCCCAGTACCACTTCAAGGGCCGCTCAGGAATGGTGACCTGCTGGTCTGGGCCATTCGGTTCCATTACTGAGCATTTGGGACCTTCTTGCTTTTACTTGTGTGCATCATTTGTGGCAGATGCACCCAAACTTAGACTTTTTATTATTCCCTAATAATTTTAATAGTGACAATTCCCCACAGATAAAATTTTGGAATAAAGGGCCTGTATCCTTTCATGGTTTTGATAAATGTTGTCAGGCTATGACTTTTTCATTCCCTGGAGCACCAGCATGGCATCTCTTTTTT